TTGTGTGGAGCAGATGTGATTTAACGCTGCTAAAGCTGGTTAGGATGTACAGAAAGAGGCGAGTTCGCTGTAGGACAGTACAGTTACACCACTGATCTTGTCACTCGCACTCGGTAACAGGAGAGCAGATCGCCGGGAATGTATAACTCCACATTTCAGACGTTGCTAAAAAATATTGGGTGACTCATTTCACTTCGTGATGTTAGATGATTGGTTCTTGATCACTCATTAATTCACTAATTAGGCCTGTCTGGGTACTGTTAGAAATACAGTGTATCTCTGTAGAAAAGCTCGGGTAATAGTGTAGATCTCTGAAGTCATGCCTCACTCTGTCATCCGGGTACTCCGGTTTCCTCCCACAGTCCAAAGACATGCAGTCAGGCCAATTGGACATGCTAAAATTGCCCCTAGGTGTGAGTGAGTGTGTATGTCTGTCTGTCTGTCTGTCTGTCTGTCTGTCTGTCTGTCTGTCTGCCCTGCAATGGATTGGCGACCTGTCCAGGGTGTATCCTGCCCTCCGCCCAATGACAGCTGGGATAGGCTCCAGCACCCCACCGTGACCCAGAAGGATAAGCGGTTTAGATGATGTATGTATGTATTCAAACTGCCCTAAGGAGTGTTCAGACGACGCCTTTTCCAAGACTCTCAAGTCGTCTCTCAAGTTCATTGTTGTCTGAAAAGCTCTCCTCTAACCTGCAAAGGGCCTGTTTGTGGTTTTAAACTGCGCACTTAAGTTGAAAAAGACGTCAACTTTTCTGCTGAGCATCGTGAAAAAATGACATGGATCATCACAGATTTGTTTACCACATGGTGAACAGCTCAGACCCAGCGTTCTGAATATGGGCATGATGCTGACTACAGAATGACAACACGACTTCAGAGGTCTGGAGCAGGTGTACGTGATCCTAAGCATAGGGCTGTGGAGCAGTGGAACCGTGTTCTCTGGAGTGATGGAGCTCCATCCAGTATCTTTGGGATGAGTTGGAGTGATCCAGAACTGACCATCCAAGATCAGTACCTGACCTCACTAATGCTCAATCAAATCCTCACAGCAATGTTCAGCATCTAGTGTAAAGCCTTCCTAGAAGAGTAGAGGCTGTTACTGCAGCACAAACTCACTATTAACACCTTCATTTCAGAGGAAACGCTGGAGTCTACGGACTTTTGGACTTGTAGCTCTACTCAGTGTTTTCAGACTGTGTGGTCAGAACTGCATAAATTACAACAACATTACAGCGATGATAAGGATCAGCAGGCCACAAGCCAAGATGGAAGAAGTAGAGCAAAAGTCACCTTGCAGACTTCTTCACCGGGTCGAATTTGTTTTTTTGATGCATGTTGACTTTTTTGCTGCGAGTGCTGATCACGTGACTCGTGGGCTGACGAGTAAAGAGAAACTGTGGCGCAAAACAGAGACCTTGGCCCACCACCTACTCAGCTAATACAGGGAACAAGGCAGGCTGTTCCAAAAATTGGCGGCTAAAATCTCAGATCATGAGGTTAAAACATTCTGTGTGCATTCGTCAGTCATTGACATGCATTTTCATTCAGCTTTCCGTGGGTCAACCAGAGAAACTAGGAAATAATCTCATTCAAATATGATGTACCATTCACATGGAATTTAATAACGAACTGACCGAACGCCCCTGGGCTTTGAATGCTAATATTTAGCTTGGCAGTTCATCGTGTCCAGCTACTCTAAAGCCACAAAGTTTTTTTTTTTTTAAACAAACACCCACATCTGTACTAAGGAGTAATCTGCTGAGTATCTGTGTTCAAGGGGCAGTTTAGTTTAGGCCATCGCAAAGTCCTCAAGCACAGCTGCGTTACATAAGTAACTAATCGCCCCCCCCCAAAAAAAACATGCAAAAAAAAAAAAGAAGCAATATATAAGGTATATTCATATATCTAGATTTGTTCGTACAAATTTTTGATTGCATTGAATAGTTCTAAACAACTACACAAAAATCGTGTGCAGTTTATAAAAATATACTTACTAGAGAGAAAATTGAGTTCAAAAAGAAGTTTTAAAATTGGGCATTTCATGATTTCATAACATTTTTTTAATGAAATGGCACAATTTTATGTATGTGTGTATGTGCTCTTCGATATATATATATATATATATATATATATATAATATATATATATATACACAACACACACACACACCACATACATACATACAAAACAGATAGATAGAGGCAATTTGTTGCATGCAACAGTGGAACCTGCAGTGCACATGATGGGAATAAATCAATGTGCATTTCTATGAATTTCTGTTCCAACTGACACAGCAGATGAACTTTGTACTGTAGAAAGCTCTTCGATTCAAATGTTAGGACAGTCATGACACTCACTGCAGGACAAAAGTCTGGAAGCAAGCACTGATTAAAAAATAGATATAAAATGTAAAATATTTAACTTTACCTGCAGTTTATTCTGAAATGCACAAAAACACCCTTTTATGTTTTTTCTTACTGCAAATGTCAAAATGTATAGAAATGTACAATAATTGTGGAAAAAAAAACATTTTGTAGAGGTACTTTGCATTTTGTTGCCATAAGGCAACAGTGTGCATCATTGCAACATCCAATCTGCAATGCATACATTGGGAGTGAAGTAGTATACTGCCATGAAATATTGCCCACTTTTATCATCAATGCATGAAAAAAGACCATTTATGCCTGTCTTTTTAAAAATACAGTAAGATATGAAAAATATACTGATAAAATCATCAGCTTAAAAAAGGGAATATAATAAATATAAGATGGTAGAAGTCACCATGTGAAGATAGAAGCACAAACTGTAACAGGACGGCATGTGAAAAAAACTGTACACAGTTTACACAAAGTTTCTGAAAAAGTGTCAATGAGTCGACTTTTATATCGTCATTAAGCAAAAACCTAATGCAGTAATAGGTTGAGTTAGGTTGCCCACAGTCAGCACATATTTACTGACATGTAGTTTAATCAAAGCTATTTGTTCCAGAATATTCCACTGGTGTTGCAGTGATCTCTTTGATCTCGTACTCTGTGGCAGGGGTGCATAAACTTTTTGTGCCAAAGTGCAATGCTTGTGATGGGCCAACGGCCAAAAGACAAAATAAGGATAAAGGTAAGTTTCATATGGAGCATTTAAAATGTGTTTTTTTTAACATTAAACTACTTTGTTATTAAAATACTTCAAAAATGTGATTCAAAAGAAAGAATAGGAAGTTGTATATGGAATAAATGAATATGTTTGCTCTCTCATTGGGTGAGGGAGCGGGCTCACTCCTCACTTTGGGCTGCCCTGCTGTAGAGTATTCTATGGTATTCATTGACTAACAGAATATGACGCTCAGAATAGGAAGCTGTATATGAGCCTAAGGTCTCCATGCCCAATGCCAAGAGTCAGGGTATAAAGCCCCCCAGCACTGGGCTGTGGAGCAGTGGAACTGCGTTCTCTGGAGTGATGGAGCTCCATCCAATACCTTTGGGATGAGTTGGAGTGATCCAGAACTGACCATCCAACATCAGTACCTGATCTCACTAATGCTCAATCAAATCCTCACAGCAATGTTCAACATCTAGAAGCCTTCCTAGAAGAGAAGAGGCTGTCACTGTAGCAAAGGGGGAACAAAATCCAACTCCTGAGGAAAAAAAAAAAAGTTTGACGTTCATCTTAACGTTTGTGTCATTTCTAAACTTTCGGCCTGCACCGTAAGTACAGTGATCTGCTTAAAGCTGTTTAGAGCTTACAGTGGTCTTTCTACAGTGACTGACCAAAGACCCCTCAGCACAGGTCAGTTCTGCTCTCTGTGTGGAAGTGGAGGATTGTGAGCTGGAACTGCAACAGCTCGGACATCCGATTCGCAGAAGTGTGCACAGATCAGATGAACCCAAACAGCCTGAATGATGGATCTGAAACACTTAACAACAAAGAAAAAAAAAATTCAAACCAAAATGGTTCTTCCATTTGCTCAAGAATCCCTAACCTCTTATACACCAGGGTATATTTTGGTTTGTCCATCTGAATTTACGTGACCAAATCATAAGGCAAATTATTCAGTAACTGCATGAAATCCAAAAATCTGAAAGTCAAAAATCTTAGATGCTCTTTGTATTATTTAATAAAAATAATTTTTACAGAGCAGATCACTGAAGAGACGCCATCTGTTTATAGTTTATAGCCCAGATTTCGTGGAAAAATGGGTCGACTTTCAGTAGAAAAAAAAAACCTGTGAGTGAAGCTTCTTTTATTATAAGGCTTTAAAATACATCACCCATCTATTTGACTGGAAAGAAGACAGTTACAGCTCCCACCTTTTGAATGTAGCTTATGAAATATGAACGTTATGAAGAATATGACGAAGTGCGTTTTGGAACCACCGGTGGTCTCACGGAGTTGAAGGGCTAAATGGCACGCTTTTGTGTTTTTGTTCTTTTTAGAGAACGAAGATGAAATCACATCATTTTTGGTTAGAGGAGGTTCAATTGTGCACAAATTGGCTGCTGTCTTAAAAATAAAGTTGCCAAAAAGCAAAGAGGGTTCTTTAGTGGTTCTTTGGTGGCACTTCTAGTTCAATAATGAACCGGTAAAGGGGTTAGTTGAAGAAGAGGTGAAAGGTGAAGAAGCCTTTTAAAGTTTACAGAAGCTCCACTAACGATTCTATACCAACTTTTCTCTAGAAAATCCAAATGATGAGCCATTTAGAACTTTTAATTTTAAGATTATACTGCAGTGACTGAAGGAGGTTCATTCATGCATTTTAAACTCAACATTACAGACACGTCTGAACATTTTGCTGCTTCCTTTCGGTACACAGAGAAAAACCCTGACAAGGCTAGTTCTTGGCAAAAAAGTGCAGCTGATAAGCAAAGGACAAACATGAAGAGAGCAGACCTTTAGAGCGAGAGAAAAAATGTCAAATCACAGTTCTAACCACACATAATCACAGCTGCGTGAATCTGGACGACTAAATGCGTTTCTAAGCAACTGGCAAGTCATTAAACACGTTTAGTTCCACCAGGTGAGATTTTTTTATTATTTTAAAGAATATGCTCTAGTCATTTGCATCTTCACAATCGACCATTACACAGTACACTTAATGCATTCATGAAAACCAAATAAAGACATGTTCATATACATATATAAAAAAATCCAAAGTCCAAAACCACATACTTGTGTTCCCTTTAGAACAAAATAACATGAAGGAACATCCTAGAAAAAACAAATTGAACAGTTACGCTATAACACAAACCATGGGGCCCAAATCCAAATATTGAAAATAAAAACGATAATAATAATAATAATAATAATAATAAAGTTTCGGACAGAGCACGTTTTCTGACCCCGTCCATGTGCCTCAACTCAAGATGGATTAGAAAATATATTACATTAATCAATAAACTACTTTATAAAGTAAATTCATCCGTCTATAATAAACTTTCAATGACTATAACTTATTTTAGAGACCCCATTAAAAGATTAAAAATGAGAAGAAAAAACAAATTTATTTTAAGAGACGATCAGGGTAGCAGGAGAAAAAGGCAACGAACGAGACGTTTGTCACAGTGGATTGCTGAAAAACGTGGCAGTAGCTCTAGCAGATACGTTTTAGCATGGTTATTACCTCCAGTGGCCTTTTTTCTTTGAAAATTAGCTCATTTTTTAATTTTCACTTTCTAAACTTTAACAAATTTTCATTTGTAGATCATATTTAGAGCTTGAATTTGTTAAGAGTGGTCTGTTTTACTAATACACAGAAAATAATGTAGAAATTGAGTGGAGTGGTCATGTTATGCTGGATTTTGGTGGGTAATTCTATCATGTTTTCTCTTTACTGCCATTGTTTAGTTCTTTATTGCATCAGCAGACTTTAAACTCTCTTCTACAGGTGCTAAATGTGTTTGTCTTCTCACAAGAGCACGATTGCAAAAATAAGATACTCCACTTCATTAAAGGGACCCTCCAGTGCTTTTTTTAATAAACCACTCTGTAGCAGTATGATTGATTACATCAGACAACCCACTGCCTTAAAGGGCCCATATCAGGGAAACCACATCACCACATCTTACTCACTTTTTCTAAACAAAAGAGTTCGGTACGGTATGTAAACACTGCCATTCACTACGCAGTCCAAACAGTTCATATGGGGAAACTAAGCTGCAAAACAACCCGTTCTGAATGAACTGTTTTGTGATGTCACAAAAACCAGTGCATTTACATAACCGATTATTCAGCTCACAGCAGTTTAACCGCATCCATTTACACTTAAGTTATGGGTAGTATTATAGGCTTGACTGCTTTTTGAACGAGGCAGCCAATAAAAAAAAGAGGTCATTTACATACATTAGCCTTAAAGGCACAGTAACAAAAGACTGTTTAATCCTAAGGGATAATGAAAGGTTGGAAAACGGTCGTTAAAACTGAAAATGATGTAGGGGGATGTAATAACAGAATTAGAATATAGTAAACAAAACCATGTTCATTAGTGTATAAATCTGCCCTTCATATCTACAGAGGGAGCAGCTCCTTTTCAACAGAGGCTGCCATGGTTCTACAGTAGCCCAGAGTGGACAAACCAAACTCTGGCTCTAGAGGGCGCCCTTCGCTTTTTTACGCTGAAACAGCAGCTTGAATTTGGTGGCGCTGTAGCTCCGGTTGGAAGATGTAGAAAGAAGAAGAATCAGTGGTTGCTGCCGGTGCTGCTAATCATTTTGTGCTTTGGGAAACCAAATTTGGACAAATGGAAGATCAGACTTCTTATTTAGCACAAGAAAAAGTGAGGGAGGGTGAATCCTCACCTTCAAAGAAGAGAAAGAAAACCTGACAGCCACCGTAGGTTCTACTACATGCTTGGAAAGGTAGGGGTGAGGGAAGAGGTGGAGGGTTCAGCTGGTTGCAGTCTGCAACCTCACCACTAGATGGCACTAACTTTTAAGCGCTGCTCCTTTAATTATGACTAGAAAAGAAAACCATACAAACATAAGCGGACAAATAAAGTACAAGACATATAGAGGATATGGGACCCTTTAATATACGCTTACAGTAGAAACCAATGGGCAGGTGCTTCAGCAACTTCCCATTGACCGCTAATGTAAGTGCTGTTGGGTTTCTGTGCTTTAAGTTTAGGGAAACGCTGAAATTACTGCCTGTAGTAAATGACTGAATCCTGCAGATGCAACTGAGAGAGATCAAGTGGAAAAACACTGGAGTTTTCCTTTAAATCTAACATTATGCCATTGCAACGCAGACACGGTCAGAAGCCCAGTCACATGCTAGTTTCTAGTTTATATATTTAGGGTGTTGCTACTGTACACAGATCACTAGAAGTGTTTTTTTTCCTTTTCTCTGTTAGTTTACAGTGTCATGCTCCTGTAAAATCACTGCCTGCATGATCATTTCCATAGAAGAACAGAAAACATTTGTCAGCCTCGTTAACAAAAATATTGCTCTACAGTACTTCAGTTATTATTTCACTCATAAGAAAATAAAACAGCATTTTTTAGACTTATGTAAAGAAGCCATTTCTTATTTTTCTTTCCTTTTTTTTTGTAGCAATACAAACAAAAGCATGTACATGCAGTACAACAAACGCATTCATTTAACAAAATTGTACAAATAAAATAGCACATCGTAGAAAAAAATTAAATAATTCAATTCACCCTCTATGATACTGAGCTATTATAAAATACTCCAGGGGGAATTTATTATCATCATCATTATTATTACTGTGCAGATGAGTACAAGCAGAGGATTTTAAAGCATGTCGCCTTCTTGTTTTTAGCTTTTAGCTCCCACAAGCGCAGCCCCTTGTGTAAATGCATTGATGCCAGAGTCACGTGGACGTTAATTCTGACTCACTAGACAGAGAAAATAGCTTTGTTTGACTATTAAAGGAATATTTCAGCATTTTTCAACCTACAATACCATTAATGTTAAGAATTATATAAATAATCTCATTTTATATTTGAAAACTTTGAGAATGTATATTTAAATAATGCCAAAATGGTATTTTAGGTGTTCTATTTTATTATATTTATATATCTTTTTGCCAAATTATTGACCTCATTTTTGAATAATCACTTGAAACATAAGCCAAATAATAAAATACATTACTGTATATTAATACAATAATATGTATAATTTTACAGTCGTATGTAAAAGTTTGGGCACCTCTCTGCACAATTCTGCACACTCTAATGCTCAGTTTCTGTTTACTGATTGAATTTAACAAAACAAAAATAAAACATAAAATGTAGCCAAAGTGTGCAAAAGTCATGGCACACTTAATGTTTTGTTTTATTTCTCCAGTATGTTAGAATTTGTGCACTAAAATTAGCAGAAAATGCCATATTTCAGTTCTCTGTGCTAACTTTTTCTTACTTAGAAATAGTTCAAACACTGGCATACGACTGTGTTATTAAACTTTTTAACTTTTGAACAACAGTGTCTGTAGCATGTGGTCAAATACTAAGGCCAATATTTTTTCCTGTGCTTAGTAAAAGAACAGGAAAATCACCGAATTTAATAGACGTCAATGGACACAAGCTGAAACTGAAGCAACTTCCCATCGGCTTCAGTTATAAAGGTGTTGAAGTCCACAGTTTTTAGGTTCTGAAACTGAGTAAAGGGAAGCATTTCAACAGTATTGTTCATGGTAACTGACCGTTTGCTATAGATACAGCAGGCAGAGATCAGGATGAAAAATGCTGGAGTTTCCCTTTAAAACTGAAAAGAATTCTCAGCCTGTAGAGCAGCTGCTGTTTAGTTTGCTACCTGCTGCGTCTGTAATGGCATATAAGACTGTGTGTGGTGGCTTAAGAGGACAGAACACAGTGTATTGTTGCTCACATCTGGGGTGATGGCACCTAATGAGGCCTGGTGGACCTCCAGCACTTCAGGGCAGGCAACGGTTCTGCAGCTGTGGTTACTGGAAAGGGAAGACGACCAGAGCGGAACGCAATGACGGGGTGGGTAATGTCTCAGGCATGTAGATGGAAAAGGGGTTAATACGCTTCCTTCTGAGTGTGCATCTGCTCCTGGATCTTCTGCAGCATCTCCTGCATCCGTCGCAGCTGGAAAAACAGGCGGAAAACAGAGGAACATTGATGATGTTAGTAAACTGAACCATCAATAATGGATCGAAAAAGGCCTACGTGACAGCTTCGAACTGGTCACGTGACCAAAGGGCAAACTTTGAGCGCAGGCCATTGGCCAATTGATTATTTATTTATTTATTTTTACTTCTGCATGGCTGCTTTACTGGACTGCTTAACTCTTAGCATGTTAGCATTGGGAACTGGCAGCAGGGAATCGACAAGACTCGCTTTGTGCCACCACAGGATCAATATTACGGCAGATTTTAGCTTCCCAAATGATAAAAATCTGAAAATAAGCTGATTCAGTCAGATAGTATCCATGATACTGAATTAGAGTAAATTGATGTATTTTATATACATATTTACACATTTTGTGCAGAAACTGATGCAAATTATACACATGTTGATATAAAATGATACATTTTTGTGGGGCATTGTTACTATCTGAAATTATTTCTTGTCATAATTGTAAAAATACCTGCTTGCAAGTTGCAAAACCTCAATGTTTTGGTGAGAAATTAGTCTGAATGTGGGCTTTGAGCTATTCTCTAAAGTGGGGCTCAGTTTATTAAAGAATATTTATCTATATGTAGATGTTGAACAGGAGAACGTGGATTGTGCTTGTGCGTACTGATATTTGGTGTCACAATTATGCCGACAGTCTTACGTTTATAAGATTTTAATGACAATAATAGTTAATAATAACAGAACATAAACAAAATTCACTTCATAAAGTCTTCAGTTTGGTCCACTGGACAAGAAACTACCATACAGCAAGTGGTTCTCAAACCCTGAGGACTGGAGTGAGAACTACTGCTCGAATATACATGCAGAGACGAAATAGTACACACAGGGTGCCAAAATGGGGTTCTTGAGTGATGTCAAACTACAAACTCTTTCTCAAACCCCTCAAACTGGTCCCTGAGAACCGGTTTGAGAACCACTGCTACCAAGGACCATGTTTAAAAAGGGTTTGTAGATCGTACAGGGGTCCCTGAGGCCCACTGCCGCAAAGAACTATGTTTGAGAAAGACATCTATGAATCTGGAAGAACCTTTTAAAGATTTAAAGAACCTTCTCTAAATGTAAAGGTCCTATCCCAATTTAAGGGTTCTCCCTAGAACCTTTAACTCATATGAAGTTTCCTTAAATTTTAAAAGGTTTTTTTTTATTTTTTGGTAACCAAATGTGGTTCTTCCATGGCATCTTTATTTTTAAGAGTGTGATAGTTTAATTAACGTTGTGTTTCTGCTGGACGATAATAAAGAAAAAGAAAATTTGTCAAAACGGCCTTTACACTGCAAAAAATAGTATCTTGTCAAGTGAAATTATCTTAATTCTAGCTGATGTATCTAGTAGTTGAGATGGTTGTGCACATATTTTAAGATTATTTAACTTATTTCTAAACATTTACCTGTTTTAAGTCATTTTATTAAGTAAAATTATTTATACAGGCAAATAATTTAGCTGGTTTCAAGCACATTTCTTAAAACAAGCAAAATTATCTGCCAGTATAGTGAGATAATAAAAATAAAACAACTAATATGTTTGGAAATAAGTTAAATAAGCTTAAAATAATCTTACAACAATCTCAAAACGAGAAATACTAGATTTACTGACTACATTTAAGATCATTTTTCTTGACAAGATACCATTTTTTGCAGTGTAAGTACTTTATTCATTATACGTTATTCATTTTTCAGCATCACAATGAAAAAAATGCAGAAAAAAGTATATAAAAGCCTCAACAGCTAAATCTAATCTCAGCTGTTTGAGTGTCAGTGAGTCTCTCTTTCCCTTTATTCCAGCTTCCATTCTTTTCAGGAGACTCACTTTCAGTTCCTCAAAGAATCTGCAGACACACCTCCAAAGCTCAGTCTTAGAAGCTGGTTTAGCATTTTTGCTTTTACACACTACTGCAGTTCCATCAAAACCCTTTACTTTCTCCACTGCTCAGTATAGCATATGTGGGGCATTTGGGCTCAGTGTTCATAACTGAGAATAGTGAAAATAATAAAAATAGCATGTCAGGGCAGAAACACGTGCTGCTATATTTAGAGAAAAAAATAATAATATAATAATAATAAAAAAAATAATTTAGCTACACATTAAATCACATTAATATTTCATACAGACACGTTTAATTCACCAGACCTGCTTCTGGAGAGTAGCCTACTTAAGAAAACTGATTTAAAATGACTGATTCTCAGTAATAGCAGCAGTTTTCAGGATCACAAGAACATGAGTAACTATAGCAAATATAGAGGACTTTCTAACACCTTTACCTCAATTACTCCACCTCTGAGATTCATTTCTGTGCGAGTGAGCGAGCCGAGCTGGTTGTTTCTACTTAAAAAGTAGCTCTGCTAGTTGTTTCATTTGTAGTGCTGAAACGGCTCTGATTTGGTCTTTAAACCACACAGAGGGGAAAACTGGCCTTAAGCAAATTAATGAAGGCAGAAAAAACATTTAAATAGATAAATAAATAAATAAATAAATAGATCCAAGGTTCTGTATACTCTCATCAAGCCTTTAGCTGCTAATTAACTGGCTGCTCGTTACTACTTTCTCATGCAATAACTAGAGTGAATAAGACATTTTACAGAGCTTCATTTACTTTTAATCTTTTGCACAATCCTAACTTAAGCAATGTTTATATGATGAGCTTGATTCCTTTTCATTCCAATCAATGCCTTCTACGTCATAATAAATGATCAATTAGCTCTAAATACGGACCTTCTAACACAGAGTGTTTACATGCAAACCAATAATACAGTCATTATCAGATTTCTGTCGTGTAAAAAGCACACTCCAATTTCTTACACTGGATTAAAGGTTAAGGCTGTTTCTAGAAATCTGATTAAGAGGCTGGATTTGAGCTCAGCATTGGGGTGTTTCAGTGCTGTAAACTCTCACTCTGATTTCTTTTGTTTATCTCTGTCTGAGCATGTGTGAAAACAGCGAGCAGCGTTTAAGACAGCACCTGCGAGACGAGCACAGCACTTCTGGAGCGACGCTGAAACCGACAAGCTTAAAATGAATTATTTAAATATTATTCATCTTCTAGATGATGTATCTTCATATTTCTGCTAAAGTGACTCCATCTTGATGAAACTTCGGCATGAAGTATATGTTACGTTTACGTCACGTCTTATTCTGTGAGTTTATTGGCTGGTTGTAAAGCAGAAATCCGATTACTGCCTGACTCATGTAGGCCTGGAGTTCCCCCATTATCTGATTACTCAAGAGTATGAAAACACACTGAACCAGTTACTGACACAATCTGATTTTCTGCAGTTATCAGATTATTAAGCGTAAACACACTGAACCAGTTACTGACACAATCTGATTCTCTGCAGTTATCAGATTAAGTGTAAACACACTGAAACAGTTACTGACACAATCTGATTATGACATGCATGTAAACACACTCAATTATTCTCTATCAGAAAACACAGTGATGTATTTTACTTAATGTGTACTATGAGGCCTAGTCTGAGCACAGGGTCTGAATGAACTGTGCTTTTCAACAGAGCTTCTGGTCAATATCAATAAACGATGTGCTAAACATTCTGAAGCATAACACACAAATGAAGGTGCTCTGAAAAATGTCTTGTTCACACTGGTTACTGCTTAATAAAGCAGCAGTGAGCAGCCATTAAATTACCCGCTACTGACTTGATAACAGCATCAGAAGGGCTTTATAATGTCCCCCTATAGTGCAGTGTTGCCGAATGAATGAATGAATGAATGAATGAATGAATAAATAAATAAATAAAAACAATGAGGGTGAATGCAGTCTGCAGTAGAATAATATTACTGTGCAGGTGTTCATGGCAAAGCCCTCGTCCTGAGCTCAGCCCTTTTTAGAGTCATGACTTGTGGTAACTAAAGTGCATCACTGCGAAAGTGTGCAGGCTTCCAGACCTACGACACAAACACTGGAACCAGGAAAACCAGTACATATACAAAAGTACCAGACATGACCATGCATAATACTGTCTCCCACAGCCTTGTGCGCCCTGTTAAACTGCTCTAGCAGGACACGACTGTTAAAGGAATACAGTGTTTTTTAGTCTGACCTCTATCTGCTGGATCTGTAGCTTATACTCAGTAACCACAGGCACTATTTTCTAAAGAAAATTATACTAAGAAAAAGAATGTGTATCAACAGCTGCCCATTGGATTCTATTATAAGTGAGATTCAAGGTTTTCTGTTCTTTTGTTAAGCACAGGGACACGTGACTGACCATAGGCTAGAGATACAGCACTGAGAAATCAGGTTAAAAAGCACTGGTGTACCACTTTAAAGGGGAATTCCACTGATCTTTCAAAAATTCTCCACAATCCAGCATTTGAGATGTAAACAGAGTGATTCAGAGTGGTTTGGTGTGAAATGGTTCAGATTTCTTTACAGTGGTGGTGATAGGAACCAGAGGTCGCCATGACTACAACACAAATATAGACATTTTATTTACTATCCAGAACCACCAGTGAACCTACACAAGAATTTTATATGGAATGTTGATGATGGGAAAGTAGTGAAAAGTGAGGGAGCTTTTAGAGGTGGACGACTGGTTCCTATCACCACCACTGTGAACAATTCTGACTAAGTTTCTTTAGAACAGAGCGTTTCACACCAAACCACTCTGAATGACCCACTCTAATACATCATAACCTTTTAATTATGCAGGAATTTTGAATAATCTGTATCGGGGCTACTACTACGCTGTGTAGCTAATGCTAATACTGGATTTAATTTAATTTCTAGCGACCTCTCCTCTGAGACCCTCTCGGTTAGGTGTGTGACCTGTTTGAGAGGCTCATTGTTGTTTATTTTATACAGTAAAACCCATGTAGATGGTCAGGACCCCTCTGGGTGTGTATCAGTGGGGGTTGGATTGTGGGGCTCTGGCTCTGTGTGGGGGTCCGGATGTGGCTGTGTGTCCGGATGGTGATGCTCGTGATTGGCCGGGCAGGCGGGGTGCTGTACCTCCTCGTCTTTCTCTCGGATGAGTTTTTCCGTCTCCGTGTCCGTTACCCCCGGCACCATGGGGATGGGGAAGTCTGTGCCGCTCTCTCTGGTTAGTTTACTGCAGGCGAGGAGAAAAGAAACACACAAAGTTCAACGCTTTAGAGACATAAAAGGGCTTATATCCTACATTTTTCATACATTTTATTTCTTTTCTTTGTGTGGTTTTATGTACCAAACCCAGGTGTAATTCATTTTAATTAAATTAATGTCATTTATTTCCAAACTCTCTTTATTCCTTAGAATTAAACAGGCTGTTTGTGTTACTGTGCCTTTAAGACTGATGTAAATAAATTAGCTCTGTTCTGATTGGCTGGCCCACTCAAAAAATAGTCTAGGCTGAAATACTCCTTATAACTTCAGCATAAATGGGCAGGGCTAAACTTGTATTTAATAAATAAAATTGTAGGCTGAATAATATATATTTATATGTAAATGCGTGGTTTTTGGTGACACCACAGAAAAAATAATTCAAAAATATAGCCGCAAGCGGCAATGAGCGGGTTCAAGCATGCAACAGCAGTATGGGCCTTTCTTCAGGTTTAGCCCATTAGGCCTAAAAAGGCCTCAACCTTTTCGCTTAGCCCATTAGGCCTAAAAAGGCCTCAAGCTGTGGGTCAAAGAACTTTGTCTCTATCTCACTCTGATCAAAAGTTACAGGCAAAAATATGAGTAAAGTTGAAAAAGATGAAAAGTTGAAACATAGGACTAAAGTAAAGTATGAGCTCAGTGAAAGTGTGTCAGAATTAGTAAAAAGGCCACAATAAGGGATGATTCTCAATCAGGGACCATATCCAAAGATGTTTACCAAGTTTTGGTCAGATTGACCTTTTGACCTTTGTATAATAAGCCTTTGTATAATGTAGTCTTCGAATGAATAAGCCAAAATACCAGACAAACAGTACATTTTTTGACATAACATGTAATTAGAAAGTTGTTCATGTGAGTGACCTGAGTCGTATGGAACCATTTGTTTATCTGTCGACCTTGTAATAACATTGTAATAGCATTTTAATTGATTTTTAAGTGTTTTTGAGTGCTAAAGCGCCCCCTAAAGGCCAATCTGGACCAAAAGTGGCATGCACCATTAAAATCTAAATATGTAAAAATCCTTAAAGTTTGGAGATGATCTGACCAAAAACTGTTGAGTAATAGCAAATCAAGTTAGCAAAGCCATGGCCACAGTAATTAATTGATTGTTCCACAGAACACTCAGCAGAAAAGTGAACATGTTTTTGATAATTGTTTACCTACACATGCCAAAGAATTTTTCCAGACCAAGTTCGAAAAGATTGGATCAAAATCCAGGGACTAGTTCGAAAAAGTGGCTTTTTAAACAGTTACCGATTACAAAAAAACTATGCAGTTTTGTAATAAATATGCATTTGCGAAATTGTTTGGAATAACGTACTACATATGATACATAAGAGGAAAAGGCTCTTCTGAATTTTTTGACACCAATTACTTGAGGATTGGTTAAAAATTGTAGGACTAGTTTGCAAAAGTAGGTTTCGCATATTATGCAAATTAGCTCAAAATCTCAGTGGGCAGAGCTAAATGGTCCAAATGGCAAAGTTGTTTGTTTGGACCCAAGGAACTAGGAAAAAAATATGTCTTGTCTGGGAAAAATCTGCTTTAGGAGTTATAGGCCAAAACACGTTGACCTGCGTGATAGTGCCCCCTTGTGGCCGACTGGGTTGATTCCTTGCGCCTGAGTAGCGGGAGGTACTACTACCTATTGACCTATTATAAGTTTCAAGTCCGTAGGACTTACGGTTTAGGCTGTGCATTCCGTTCCATGGTGGAAAAATAATAAGAAAAATCTTGACAATTCCAATAGGGTTTAATGCATTGCATGCTTGAACCCTAATGAACTGTTTTGGTAGCTTAGTCTCTAAATAGAATGAGGAGTGAATGGTATGTTTAGTAGAGTTTAACAGTCAGTGTGTCCCAATTCAGGGGCTGCGTCCTTCAGAGGCTGCATCTGAAGGCTGTTTGTGTCACAGCGGCGCGACTAGACTGTCCTATTTCGAAGGCTCCTTCAAATGCGGCCCCGAAATGTGTCCTTTTCCACGGCAACGAAGGATCCATCGGGTGGATCCGTCGCCAGCCAACATATCCCAAGTTTCACTGCGTGCCGGCGAGGATTCGAGAACATGGCAGCATCAACAGAGAAGCGAACGCCGGCTGAAGAGACACTTTAATATATAAGTATTGGGTTTAAACTGAGGCGAATGGCTCACGATACAGACGTAAAAAAACAAAAAAAAACTCATCAGTAGCTGGCGGTGAAGCTCTAATAAATGAAGAAAAAAAAACTGAGCTTCTGGCTCCATCTTTAAAGAACATTAAAAGAACTTGACGAGTTTTGTGACACAGCGGTGCTGTGACACAAACAGGCAAAACGCCGTAGGGCAGACCGTCTCATTTCAGCTCATTCTTCGCGGGTCGAAGCGTCCTTCAAAGGACTCGCCTTGATAGAGCCCCCTGAGTTGGGACACACTGTGCATTCACATTCTGCATCAAACTCTTGTAGTTATAAAAAACAATAAAAGACCCTTTTTTGGTTCCAAAATGTTCAGTAACTACTACTTACAGAATAGTAACTTTCACCTGCTACAGAATAGTAAGTAGTAGTTACTGTAGTTACAGAATATTAAGTAGTAGTTACTGAACATTAAAGGGCTAAATTTTCTTTAGTTGTGTACTAAAAACGGTCATGATTAATTTGTACGTGACCATTTTCTACATAACGTCTCTTTCGCACTCATAATTAAACAGGCTGCTTTTGAAACTGTATGATAAACAGACTGTGGCTATAGGTGCTCAGTTTTATCGAGTTTGTCTTGCACACATTGTTCTATTCTATCCTGTTTTTTTTTCCACGAGACGCAAAAATTCACCAGAGGCTGCCATCCCGTTTCCATGGCAACAGGTTTTATTGACTGGTTCTGAACATATCATCATGTTAAAGAGACGTATACAGTAGACAGTACTTAATAGTTGAGGTGTAACTTCGGCTTTATTTACACAGCAGGTAAAAGTGACCCAAGTCTGATCTTTTCTCTTCATATGTGACACAGATGTGTGTCAGTTTGAACAGATAAACACACTCAATCTGACATTTTCAATTCCGATTTGAGACGCTTTTATATGTGGAACGGAAATCTGATACGTATCCGATCTGTGGCAGTGCGACTCAGTCTGAGCAGCCAGATTAGAATTCATGTGGCTTTTACGTCAGTTCAACTCGACGTTCGTCATAATTTCGCACTGCTGAGACTCATAAACATTTGGGCTGATGTTTCTGTACCAAAAAATTCTAAAAGACTAAGAGATTTCGAAAGGAATGTCCGAACGCGGCCGTAGGAGAACGAGGCTGCAGCGTTAAAGAACAGTTAAAAGTCTGAAAGCAAAGTTTAAAGAATTCGAGAAAGCGAACCAAAGAAGTGACCGCGCCCCTTTTTACAGCGAACTCGAACATATTCTGGGTGATGAGCCCAGCTGTCACTCAGTGAAGATTCATGATGGCTCCTGTGATGCTGGTGAAGATGAAGCTGATCCTCCGGGAGCGACTGGCGTTTGTTGGCAGTCGTGATTGTTTACCTCTGGATGAGCCGCGTGAAGCAGCGTGACGCTGATCTGTTCAGACTGATGTCACATACAGATCACATTTAAAAGATAATGTGAACAGCCAAATCAGATTTGGTGAGAAAATCTGATTTGGGACTTTTACGTGCTGTGTGAACATAGCCTAGAGATTGGTCGTGTAAGTGAATTTAGTCTGAAGCCCAGTCCTGTAGTTTAACGAGTTAATGACATGTTGACATTGGAGTTTGAGTGACACAAATATAAGGTGGAGTTTTGTAATTGATATTTTTTAATTGATATTTTTAACTGCTAGTTTTGTAATTGATATTTTTAATTGATATTTTTATGGGCTGTGTCCTTCAGGTTTCCCCATTAACAATTAATTGCAAACTATTCAACGGTTATTGATCAAAATTATTTGCTAAAATCTGCATTGCTACACTATCAAAAAAAATCCCCAGCTCTTCAAGGGTTCTGTGGTAAAGATAATGGTCCTGTAAGAACCACGAACGCTCAAAGAACCATTTGCATGCCTTAATTGTTTTTCAGATGGAGAATGTGCTGTACATGTAGAACCTTTATGAAAAGGGTTCTATGCAGCACCAAATAAGTTCTTCTATTGTTATGATGTGTAACAGCAGCTGAACCTAGAACCATATACAACACATTCTCCTTCAATCTGAAGAACAATTTCACCATGCAAAGAACCACTAAAGCATGCAGATGGTTCTTTGAGTTTTCATGGTTCGATATAGAACCGTTTTACTGAAGAACCCTTGATGAACCATTTTTTAATAGTGTAGCTTTAACAGTATTCTCCTTGTATTTATTTTTGGAGGCATGCAATGGACATAGACTCGCCACTAGGGGTCTCCAAATCCTTGGTTTCAATAAGGGGTCAAAATCAGTCTATTTATGTCAGTATATATTTGACTGATTTTGACCATCAGACAGTATTTTGTTCTGTGTATTATGTGGTGTGGAGTGAAAATGTAGAACCGTTCCACATCATTTCTCCACCTGTTTCAATGAGTTACAAGTGAGAAATAATTCATATAACACTTCACAACATTACCGTCAGTGACCGCTGTCACTCCTGAGGGTTAAAGTTCACATGTTCTGTGTGTTTCTTACTTGCGGTTCCGCTCTTTCACCACCATGCGGGTCATGCTCTGGATGCACTGGGCCCTGTAGTTCTCGTAGTGGGTTTCACGGGTTACGTCCTTCAGGTCCTGCATGTGTGTGCGTACCAGCATGTTCCTCAGCTTCACAAAGTCACAGTGCGCAGAGTTCTCCACTGGAAAACACACATCATCAATCAGAACCTCTTAGAGCGGCAGGAGATATTTGATTAGATTCCATAATTAAAATATTCAATAAACGAACATCTTTGAATAACCAACATGTTTTCTACTATTATGAAGCCGAGCTCTTCAGTGGAGGAACAAACGATAATCCAGATCTGCAGACTCTGGCAGTTAGAGGCGACAGTAACAGTTTCGTCTCCAGGTGCAGTCCAGTTAGGTTTCCTACAGCTCTCGCATGCTCTCAGTCTCATTTACTACAGATAATAAACGGGAGCTGGGCAGCTGTTCAGAGCTGTGAAGGCAAGTTATTCTGTGGCGGCTCATAAAGACTTTGTGTTCTGGTATAAAGTGGTTTTGAGGAGCTTAAACATCATCACTTCCCTCATCACTGAAAGTTGACCAAAACGTTGTTTTCAATTTTAATGATTTAAAACACCCCTGCTCCACTCACAGCTGTTCATACAGAGCCAGACACATGTTCAGGGTTGCCAGATTGGGCAAAATCAGTGGTTTACCATTTTAATGCAACTTGATATGAAAGTTATGATTTACCAGGAACCCTGTTTTTTTTCATTATAACATACATTTATTATTTCATTTTAAAAATAAAATCTTAAAGACTGTATAATAGTGCAAAACAATGACAATAATAATAATAATAATAACAATAATAATAATAATACATATATGTTTGTAAGTAGAATAACTTTTATATGTCCAGCTTTTACATTTTGTTGATTTTGTTAGTGTAAATAAGTCACACATCCTCTACAAAGACACACTTCTGCACATTTTAATACACAATTACTGTTTAATTTGCAGAATTTAACAAATGGGGGTAACACTGTTTTTAAAGTTATGGTTATATTTATGTTTTTGTTATTCCAGTATGTTAAACTGAGCAGATAAATAGAAGCTGAGCACTGAATTTAGGTAAAATTGTTGTCTCTATAGAGGATGTGTTCACTTATTTTCACTTAGAAAAGCAGTAAAAACATGTAACGCAACATAGCATCACTTTCCATCTCTGTTTTTGATGTTTTTAATATTTTGACATAATTTGAAAATCCCAGCTGCCCTTTGCACTGTGGTAAAATATCATGATGAATGGACAAATAGAAACCGTCCCAAATTACTGGGAATAAATCGTTCCTGCATTTAATTCCATTCTGATACGTAGATACATCTACATATACATATTTATCTATATTCACACACACACACACACACACACACACATAAATATATATGTTGAATTTTTCCGTTCCACCTTAAATGGTGCAGCAGTTACATTCTGGAGCCTCAGACACTATTTAAGGTGGGACGGAAGAATTTGAATAAGAAGCTGGCGAATGAGAAGTGACTTCAGCCTTGTAAAAAGTCAAACGTTGAGAGACATTTTACAAGAAACTGTTCTACTTTTAATGAAAATTTTCCTGCTGGAGATGCGAGAATAGCAGCTATAGCTGAGCTAAAGCTTAAAGTAGAGCAAAGTAAGTCTGTGTTTTCATTTATATTATATTTTTAGTCTTTACTAGTACATCAGCACATACTGAGACACATTTACAGACACAATTTTAAAATGGACATAAAATGCTGTGGCTCCCAAGGTGGTTTGATTACTTCATTTTGACACTAAATCTTTGGCCACATTTTTGTTACAGACATCAAAACAAACAGAAACGTCGACAGAATCAAATCTGTCCATACAGAATATGAACTGACTGTAAATGAATTTTATGTTACTAATAACGTAATTCATTATGTAACTAATAATGTAATTCATTACGAAAATACACATTATCGCTGCTGGAATAAAACCTTTTTTTTATGTCCAGCTGTTTTTTAAGTCCAGCTTTTCTTCACATTTTATGAAAAATTCATGATGGACGGATCAACAGAAAAGGTCCAAAATTACCTGGAATAGAATCACAGTACCAGTAATGCACGTTAGAAATTATTACATTTGTCCTTCTCCTATAAAATTACCGTTCTGGAGTTTAGACTTTAAGAGTTAATAATCAAGCCACTGTAATACCTTCTACGATACCCCAGGGGTACAGACGGCCGCGGACCCTCTTGCCCTTCGCCTCCACCACCGTGTTGCTGCCGATCACAGCGAACGGAATGCTGTCCTGCAGATGGGAGAGAGAGGGAGAGAGAGAGAGAGTCAGAGAGAAAGTCAGAGAGAGAAAGAGAGTCAGAGAAAGAGAGAGAGTCAGAGAGACAGTAAGAGAGAGAGAGAGAAAGAGAGACAGAGAGAGAAAAAGAGACAGAAAGAGAGAGATGAGGAAAGAAATGACCACTGTATCAGCTCCACTGACCATATAGTTTCACTCTGTAGTTCTACAGTTACAAACAGTCCATCTGCTTATCTACGTACTTTGTTACCCTGTTCTTCAGAGGTCAGGACCCCCCATGGACCCTCACAGAGCAGGTACTATTTGGGTGGTGGATCATTCTCAGCACTGCAGTAACACTGACGTGGTGGTGGTGTGTTAGTGTGTGTTGTGCTGGTCTAAGTGGATCAGACACAGCAGTGCTGCTGGAGTTTTTAAATCACCTCAGCGTCACTGCTGGACTGAGAATAGTCCACCAACCAAAAATACCCAGCCAACAGCGTCCTGTGGGCAGCGTCCTGTGACCTATCGTCTCTGACTTTACATCTACAAGGTGGACTGAGAAGGTAGGAGTGTCTAATAGAGTGGACAGTGAGTGGACAAAAAAAACCTCCAGCAGCACTGCTGTGTCTGATCCACTCGCACCAGCACAACACACACTAACAAACCACCACCACGTCAGTGTTACTGCAGTGCTGAGAATGACCCACCACCCTAATAATACCTGCTCTGTGGGGGTCCTGACTATTGAAGAACAAGGTAACAGAGTATGCAGAGAAACAGATGGACTACAGTTTCAAGACTGTCCGGCCTTTAATGGTCAAACTGTACCTTTAATTCCTGGTCTTGCTGTTTGAAATCCTCGTCCTCATCTGAATCACAGTCTGGAAACTGGTAGATTTTGATCCCATATTGCTCGATCTCCTCTCGAATCTGCATGATGTGAGTAAAAAGAAAAAAAACAAAAGTTCTATTAGAACAAAGCAATCTGAAGTTTTTTATGCTGTTGTCAAGGTTGATTACTTGCCTTGATTTTCTTTTTCTTGACCTCGCTGGGCGTGAGTGTGTCTGCTTTGGCCAGCACAGGCACAATATTGACCTTCTCATGTAGGGCTTTCATGAACTCAACATCTAAAGGTCTGAGACTGGACACAAAGAACCAGACAATTATAATGAATCACAATACTGAGACGATTTCACAACTAGGGATGATCATACATCACACAAGTGATCATCATGTCAGTGTCACTGCTGTGCTGAGACTGGACCACCACCCAAATAATCGCTGGGAAACAGAGGTCCCGTGGTCAGGAACTGACCAGTGGTGAACGGAGTAGAGGGGTGATAAACAGTGCAGCATCAGATGGACTGCAGCCTCTAACTGTGCACCTACATACTGGAAGCACAAGGTAGGCATTTCTAATAAAGTGGCCAGTTAGTGGAAGCACAAGGTAGGTGTTTCTAATAAAGTGGCCAGTTAGTGGAAGCACAAGGTAGGTGTTTCTAATAAAGTGGCCAGTGAGTGGAAGCACAAGGTAGGTGTTTCTAATAAAGTGGCCAGTGAGTGGAAGCACAAGGTAGGTGTTTCTAATAAAGTGGCCAGTTAGTGGAAGCACAAGGTAGGTGTTTCTAATAAAGTGGCCAGTTAGTGGAAGCACAAGGTAGGTGTTTCTAATAAAGTGGCCAGTGAGTGGAAGCACAAGGTAGGTGTTTCTAATAAAGTGGCGTGAGTGGAAGCACAAGGTAGGTGTTTCTAATAAAGTGGCCAGTGAGTGGAAGCACAAGGTAGGCGTTTCTAATAAAGTGGCCAGTGCAGTGGGATAAAATGGACAGTTCTACTAAATTAGATTTTTATTGCTGAGTCATTTTCTCACTTGGAGGAGAGCTTCAAAGGAAGGTGACCTTCCAGACTGATGTAATTACTAAATATTTCCAGAAGAGGGCGACTTTAAACAACAACAACAACTGAAGGACCTCCATACAGTACCATAATAACAGATCACAATACAGCTCAGAACTGTAAATTATTTCATTCATGAGTTTACAGTCCCACCAGGACGTCGCTGCCTTTCCCTGATTGTTTCAGGCTAAAATGTTTGATTCTTCAAGCTGCTTCTCTCAGTGTTTGCACTATTTTTCGTTTTGTGTGGGGAGAGTTTGCAAGAAAACTGAGATAAGCCTGATATATTTCTTCAACTAAATTATGTAACAAAACTTGTATACAAAATAAGCACTATATGTCTGCAATCAAATATTCAGAGAAAAAGCAAAACAAAGTGCTTTCCAACCTATTTAGAAGAACATCCTCTGACTCTGAACTAGGCCCGGGCTCAAAAAATGACTAAATACATTTTTCCTTTATATTGTTAAAAATATTGAATGTATTTGCATGTGTAAATATATATACACACAGACATACACAACTTTTAAAATTATTGAAAGCTGCTGGTTAATCCACAGATTGTGCTTATTCAGATGTGATCTGAACTTGATAGAAGATAAAATTCTGATTTTCTTTTGCTTGGTGTGCAGACTCTGCTCTTGATAGCTTAACTTGAGTATGAAGTGGAACATTTTGAGCCTCAAATTATGTAGGAAGCTGTGTAGAACGCAATATTATACATCTCATTTTAAAGTATTTTTTTAGTTTTTATGAATGGCTTTTTTGCAGTACGGTGTGTGTTTAATGCAAAAGTAATGATGTGAAGTGACAAAATCGTGAGTCATTGCAAAGATGTGCAAATTTGTGATTGATCACTGCTGGAAAGACTGATCTATACAGTAAAGAGACTGCAGGTGTGTGACACTGTGTGTGCATGTGTGTGCGTGCGTGTGTGTGTGTGTGTGTGTGTCTGAGCGTCTGAGCGCGTTCTCGTACCCGTGACCGAAGGGGGAGATGAAGTACAGACAGCAGTGTACGCGGTTGTCCTGAATGTTTCTTGCGGTTCAGGCCACTCTCGTCTCTGAAGTACTGCTCAAACTGCTGGTCAATGTAGTCCGCCACCGACTTCCAGCTGAGGGAGTAAACACAGAGACACTGCAGCTCTGAGCAACAACTACATTACCCAGAATTCCTCAAATCTAATCTGAAACTCTACATATCGCTGCTGTCGGAAGAAAACCTCGAAACTCCATTTTTGTTGTTTTTCAGATTTTAACATCATTTGAAAATGCCTGTTGTCCTTTACATTGTGTGCAAATTTCATGATGAATGGACTAAAAGAAACAACCGAAAATCACTCGGAAAAATTTCTGGTTCCACTGACTTACATTAAAAGTGAAGTAGGATTTTTCCTTTTTCTGTAAAGTTACCATTTTGGAGATGCAAGGTTTTCTTCCGACAACAGCGACGGGGTCTTTCCACAACTTTTCCACAAGGAAGCTGCACTCGAATGACTGAGTAGCAAATACAAGTCGGGCAGTTTCCATGTTAGGTTACATTATATGTTACATCAAAGGGCCCATATTCTACATTTTTAATGCTACTTTTCTCCCTTAAAGTGTATTTAAGACATCTATGTGTGAGTTTATGTACCAAAAACAGTCATAATTGATTTCTACATGACTGTTTTCCAACCTCTCTTTATCTCTTAGAATTAAACAGACTGTTTTTGTTACTGTGCCTGTAAGACTGTGCATGAGCTCTGTTGTGATTGGCCAGTCCAGACTGAAACACTGCTTATAACTTCAGTCTGAATGGGTGGGACTAAACTGCTGCATGTGGAATAGATAGATGTATGTAAATGTGTTGGTTTTCATGACATCAAAAAAACAATGTAATAAAACAAGTTTTTGCAGCTTAGTTTCCATATATGGACAGATTTGAGTGAGTTTGTCCCACTTTGCTGCAGTAACAGCCTCTACTCTTCTGGAAAGGCTTCTAGATGTTGGAACATTGCTGTGAGGATTTGATTCAGCATTAGTGAGGTCAGGTACTGGTGTTGGATGGTCAGTTCTGGATCATCACTCCAGAGAACACAGTTCCACTGCTCCACAGCCCAATGCTGGGGGGCTTCATACCCCTCTAGCCCACCCCATGCTTGGCATTGGGCATGGAGACCTTAGGCTCATGTGCAGCTGCTCCAGAGTGTCCCATTCGATTGGTCAGTGCTTTTCTAGGGAGATTATACCAGCTCCATCAGCAACGGATGACCACTGAATTCACTCAATAGAATGACTGACTGTCTGGATCCTTTTGGACACATTGTTCATGTAAAGGCTGAACAGCTTTGGGTGGCAATTTTCCAACTTTACGAGTTAACAAGGACTGTCTATACGCACCATGAGATGAGAACTGTTTATACGAATGGTTTTCGAGCAGCAAATTAAATGCAAAAATGCTCACATTTGAAAAATTATCTTCAAAATGTGGCTTGTAAGTATTTATTCTGGTGAACAGGAAACCTGCATACCACTCAGTGTTGTTGACCGCATCCCCAAAGCCTGGTGTGTCCACTATGGTGAGCTTCAGTTTGACGCCCTTCTCCTCAATGTCCACCGTGTGTTTGGTGATCTCCACTGTCTGGGTGATTCTCTCTGCACATAGAGAGACCACTGAGTCTAATACAGACTATGCATGTGTACAGATCACAATTTAAAAAATAATGACAGCAAATATCAATGAAGGCCTCGTATTGCCCACTCACTTCTTCCTACACTGAGAGATGCTATCCTGGAGAGTGCAGTCATCTTAAATCTAGTCAATATAGTTAACATTACTAATAATCAGATTGCTCTGAGAATGTTATAAGACTGATTAACCTATTTCTAGATGTTTTTATTTAATTAATTTAATCTAATGAAATAGGGTTATTCTATTGGTTTTAAGCATTATTTATTGAAAAAAAAGCACAATTATGTGCCATTAGAATGACAGTTTCACCAGATTAAACTAGAATAGCGCATTTCCTGAAAAAAGCAGTGACTGCGCAGCACTCACCAAGATAGCATGTTTTGCAGTGCACGCTGTTCGATATTACTGCACAATTCATCAATATGCTTAAAAAACAAAAACAAACACAACAAAGGACAGGTGAAGGTTACCTTCAGCATTGAGCAGCTTTCTGTCTTTGTAGAGATCTGTGAGGAACAGGCTATTGACCAAAGTGGACTTTCCCAAGCCGGACTCTCCTAAGAGATCACAACGAGCGAGAATCAGTAAGGGAGAGATTTAAAGGCCCTATGTAATACATTCCTACATGTACTGTATATAAGGTCCACTCATGACTACTCATGTACCATTACTGCATGACTATGACCTATATATATATATATATATATATATATATGAGCTCTGTTCTGATTGGCTGTCCTGTATTGTGCCTCATTCAGACAGCAGTCTGGGCTTCAGCCTGAAGGGGCGGGGCTACACTGCTATTAGCTGAATAGATGGACAGATGTAAATGTGTTTTTGTGACATAAACGATGAATTCAAAATGGGTCTCCACAGCTTACTTGGACTAATTATTCTTCAAAATCTCCATTTTAATTTTTTAAAACAGGGAATGCTCGTCTTACCTGCTACCATCAGAGTGAAGTCGAAGCCCTTTTTCACAGATTTGCGGTGAACCTGATTTGGCAAAGTGGCGAATCCCACATATTCTTTATCCTGATCCTACAGAGCAAAAGAAAGAAAGAGGGAAGGAAAGAGAGAGAGAGAGAGAGAGAGAGAGAGAGAGAGAGATGGAGCAAAAGAAAAAGAGAGAGCAAAAGAGATAAAGAGAGTGAGAAAGACAGGGAGAGAAAGAAAGACCAAGAGAGAGTGGAAGAGAGAGACAAAGAGAGAAAGCAAAAGAGAGAGTGAAAGAGAGCAAAAGAGATAGAAAGAAAGAGATAGAGAGAGAAAGAAAGAGTAATGGAGCAAAAGAAAGAGCAAAAGATTAAGTGAAAGAAATGGAGCAAAAGAAAGTAAGAGTGAGAGATGGCGAAGGAAAGTAAAAGAGATGGAGCGAAAGAGAGAGAGAGAGAGAGAGAGAGAGAGAGAGAGAGAGAGAGAGAGAGAGAGAGAGAGAGAGAGAGAGATGGAGCCAAAGAAAAAGAGCAAAAGATAGAGAGAGAGAAAGACCGAGATATAGAGAGAGAGAAAGACCGAGATATAGTGAGAGAGAGAGAGAGAGAGAGAGAGAGAGAGAAAGACCGAGATATAGTGAGAGAGAGAGAGAGAGAGAGAGAGAGAGAGAGAGAGAGAGAGAGAGAGAGAGAGAGAGAGAGGGTCCTGTTAGCTGCAGCACAGTTTGATCTTAAAATGGAAAAAGTCAAAAAAGTCTGAGAGAAACATCTGAAAGAGGAATAATTTGCTAAAATTATATAACAACATGCACTAATTTTGTCTTTTAGTTCAAACAACACACAGCACAAACAGTGAGCTGAACACTGAAACCACGTCAGAGCCAAAACAGATCCTGACGAGCTGCTCTGTGGTGGCAACAGACCCTAGCTGATATAAAGACGTTTATAAAAAGGCAGCCACCTTTAATTAGACCAAATTACAAGCGCAGCGAGGACCACCAGCATGGGACCTACAGCGTTTCAGACAGACCATCAAAGATCCGGACCCAAACTGCTCCGTCCCCAAAAGGAAGGCACAAATTAAACACGGTCAGAGGAGGCAGATGGATCCGCTTTTCTTTTCTACAGTAAAGTGCTGCTGTCTGTTTGTCTGTCTGTCTGTCTGTCTGTCTGTCTGCGCAGGGTGGCGTAAAGCTCTGGCTGCTGTGGTTCAGTCTGAGCCCTGTTTCTCGCTCCATTCCAGACCTAATGTCCCAAAGCCAAACACAGTTTCCTTTCTAGCAGAGAATTCAGGATAATACGATGAAGCCCTGTCGTCACAGAGCACCTGCAGAAATGAAGCACCAACTTTCAGCCCATTAACTTCTGTCATTAGCTTACTCACAGCTAGGGCCGGGCAAAGAGACAATATATATATTAATGGTGATAAATTATGTTGATATGCTTTTCTGAACATATCGTGGATATTCTCAGACCTCAAACTCTGACCGGTAGCATTGAGGCAATTCGTCAGTATATTTCTGTGAAATTAAACAGCAATTTCCTAATAAAAATATAATAAAAATAAAAAAAACTGACCAACTGCATGTTTCATTATAAAGAGAGCAAAATTAGTCCTGTTTAACTGGATTTAGTTCCAAATACAGAATAAAAAAAACATTGTGTTCAGTTTTTGATAGTATTTTTTTTTAAATACTATCTTTTATATTATGTATTATTTTCTTTTTACTTTGCCCCAAACTGATCAGATATCTAAAAAAAAAAAAATTAATATCGTGACGTATCGTGTATCGTGAAAAAATTTTCTTGAAGTATTGTGATGTATATTTTTGGGCCATATCGCCCACCTCTACTCAAACTTATAGCATGGCAAAAAATCAAATGTATACACTATACAAAACCTTTTTGAAAAGGGCTCTGTGTAGCACCAAAAAGGGTTCTGCTGTTGTTACAAGCTTGACATCGTAACTATGGAAGAACCCTTTTTGATGCTATATAGAACCATATACAGCACATTCTCCATCAGTTTGAAGAACCATTTAATCATGCAAAGTATTCACTGTTCTATATAGAAGAACTGGATTTGGTGCCAAATACAGAGTAAAAATGATTGTATACAGAGTTTCTGATATATATTTTTTTTTTAAATGTAGCACTGCTGGTTCTTTTTACTCTGCTCCAACTGAAAAAATGAATATCGTGATGTATCGTGAAGATTTCTTGAAGTATCACGATATAAATTTTTTTTGGGGCCATATCGTCCAGCTCTACTCGGAGATAATATGGTGAAAAATCAAATGTACACACAAGTGTTCTGCTGTTGCTACAAGCCAGACATCGTAACAATAGAACCCTTTGATGCTACATAGAACCATTACTTAAGTTCTATATACAACCATCTACAGCACATTCTCCATCAGTTTGGAGACCCATTTAATAATGCAAAGAACCCTTTAATCATGCAAAGGATTCTTTGAGTGTTCATGGTTCTGTACGGAACCCTTTTCTTTACTGAAGAACCTTTGAAGAACCATCATTTTAAAGTGTGGACACAACTGATTTCTCCACTCACATCGAGTGTAGTCAATCAGCCAGGAGTTCTTAAAGGGGAACTCCACCAGATCTTCAAATTTTGGTGGTTTGAGAAGAAATGCTCTATTCTAGAGAAACTTACTGACTCAGAGTTCTTTACAGTGGTGATGACGGGAACCAGAAGTCATATTACAGGAACATGCTAACTCTGAAATCTGTAATAAGGCTTAGTCTCCATGACAACTGAATTTCGGACAGTAGCTATTACAGAATAACAGTTCCTGACTTCATAATTTCATTGTTAACTCCAGATAAGAAAACAGAATCACACAAACATCCTAAGTAGACTAAACCTCCTAAATACTGTCCTAACTTTAGAATAAACCCCAACAGGGTCCTAACTTCTGTTTAAGGTCCGTTTCTATGGTTTTTAGGCTGCTGTGTCAGGCAGCATAGTTCACTACCAGCATAATGAGCTCCATTTATTTCTACTGTAAAACGCTGCTTTCACTGTGAGATGTTTTTCTTTTCTAACTCTGCGTTTTAAAAATCTCAGACGCTGCAGACTCGATCTCCACCGTCCCCTCTGATTACCTTCGTGTGTTAATGTTGATGATGAAATATTACAGTGATGGTGGTGAATAATGAGGAGACGGAGCTGAACGTGTGTCTGTTTATTAGGAGGAATAACGTTAGCGCAGCTCATGCAGCCCCCAACTACATGGTTTGTTTACATCTCAACCACTGAATTATGCAGATTTTTGGAAAAATCCCCTTTATAACAGCTTATCACCTCAAAGTTGGCTGAATTTTGACCTAACTTTGTCTGTTTTTGCATAACAGTATTTAATGCAGAGTTAAAAAAGAAGTTTAGCTTATTTTTATTTATTTATTTAGTTAATTTAGTTTATGTATGATGCTAAGCTTTTAGTACTTGTTAGCTGCATTAGTTAAGCTAGATTCAGTGCAAAACTAAAGACTGTCAGTGTTTTAAATGACTATTTATGGGTTGTTAATTGCTGATTTGCCTGTTTTAGGTTTGTAATGTGTGTTTTGTTTCGTGAGAGCATCATGTGTTGCTCCCTATCCTGGCCAGGACACTCCTGAAAAAGAGATTTTTAATCTCAGAGGTTTTTCCTAAATAATAATAATAATAATGATAATAATAAATACAATTAAATATGGTAATAATAATAAAAAAAGAAGCAAAATTCAGAGACTAAACATCTCTTCGCTGATTGACTACATTTGTGGAGGGTATATTTTAGCTTGTTCCCACTTATTGGTCCTAAAAAGTCAAATTCTTCAGTCCAGATCCAATGCGAGAACAAAGCGTCCCCTTGCTTCCCTCTGCAGCATTACCTCAGAGGAGTCGTAGGGGTCAAAGCGACCCCAGGGGCTCTTGGGCCTGGAAGGGCTGATGGGCGAAGGCAGGCTATAGTCCACAAGGCCGCGATGAACGGCGTGTCTAGGGTCATGCTCTAACTCCCCCGGGGCCCTGCGGCCAGCAGGAGGCCTCAAAAAGGTGGGCGTCCCCGGGGTGCGGGGGCTTTCATGACCCTCGCTCTCACTGTCAGCCCCCGGCGGCCCGTGGTGGGGGAACGAGTGGCCCTCTCTTGGGGGGTTACGTCCCATGATATTCTCCAGCTCCGAGTCCTCCGAGTCGTCCTTGGAGTGGCTGGAGTTCTGGGGTGGGTTAGGTTCAGGTTCAGGGGCAGGGTCAGGGTCAGGTGGGATGGGCAGATGGAGCGGGTAAGCACAAAAAGGAGGATAAGTATGTAGGTAGATGGAAAATAAGGATTAAGGAAAGAAAGAAGAGAAAACACTCAGTTTAGTGATTAGACACAAAGCATTCATGTGTTAATAGAATGAAGGATCTACAAACAGACCTCTGAACCTGTCGTCAGCATCATGCCTGTATTAGGAACTGGGTCAAAGCCGTTTTTCTCCATGGTAAAAATGAACTGCGTCCTGCTGTAAACTAAAATGGTTTACAGTCGATATGTGTTGTCGTGGTCATTTTCCCTGTGAATGTCATCAGGTCCTCTGAGTTTCGATGTCTTTAGGGAATTGAAATGAGTATTAAGCTAACTATGTAACACTGAACTGACCAAAACACCCCAAACAAACCAGCAGGTTTTGTCCAGTGTAGTAGTTTAGAGGCCTTGGCAGTCTTAGGCTGCAGTTACAGTAGCTGGTGTTGATATATAACAGTGCTGAAACTTTATAATAGACTAAGGCCCAATCCCATTTCTTATCTTCACCCCTACCCCTTGTTTTCAGTGTCTCCTTGCCCCTTAGAACTGAGTCACAAGGGGTAGTGGTTTAAATCTTCCCTATGAAATGGGACTCTCAAATAAAAAGAGCATTACTTCATTAACAGCTACTAGTGCTGCTCTGTAGGCGACCCTGCCAGTCTGCAGTGACAGCAGAGGAGGGTAAAGTTCAGCTCCTCACTGTTGAGTTTTAGTTACATTTAGGGCTGCTGCACTATTTAAGGTGGAACAGAAAATTTAGTTAGCTAGCTTCCTAGACATCAGCATACTACTAGTGATTTTTTTATGCTTGTTATGAAGAAAACAACCATAATACACTGAAATGACATTAAACTAATATAATACAGTGATTATCATATTTTTTTAACTGAGAAAATTCTCACATTTGTGGGTTTCTTTGGTCTCTTGTTCAGCTATCTTGTCAGTTTTTCTTTTTTTTATCAAAACACTCTGTTTGGAGTCTCTGAAAATCCTCCATTTGGAGGGTAATGTAAAGTGTTTGTTTGTAAACATCTGTTGGTGTTACTTGTACAGTGGCTGTTCTAATAAGCAGGATTCAATGTGTGGAGCTCAGTCTACCTTTTATTAGACAGTGCACACTTTTAATAAACATCTCTTTAGCGTTTAGTTAAAATTCTACAGTATTTTCTGGTATTTATCTTTTTCATTTAATCTGTGTCACTGCCTTATACACTTTAAATTAAATTAGATTAAAACACTCATTAGTATTAGTGGTGAATAACACTAACATTAAATGACATCAAAATTGAGAATAGCAGCCTTTATAACCACTGAAGTTATGCAGGTTTATATCGGATCTCATGAAAAGCTTATGCAGGAAATCACAGAGCTTTATGAATGCTGACTTTCAGTAGATACTGTATATTTTATTATAATTTTAGAACAACCGTAACAGTTTGTGTAGCAATTTATGTCTAATTTTTGTGTTCGACTGCAAAGTCTCTTGGTTAAATTAGCTAATATAAGCTAACACTTCAGGTATCACAGCCAATAAAGCATCAGAGCCTCTTCCTGTGAGGTCTAGTTAAGGGAAAATACACATTTTGGTTAGAGAAAAAGGCTAATGCTAACAGCTAATCTTAAATGTTGCAATGCTGCTTCAAATGTGATTCAGTTACAGGCACCTTCATCACAATACACCACGGACAGCAAGGTCTCGACGTCAGTTTCGGACACAGCCAGTGAGCCATAAACACCTGAATCAGTACTAAGAAATGAGCAAGGGTTGAGCTGTAGTTAGTTTTCAGACAGGAGGACTGAAAACACTCTTAAAAAGATGGTTCTTCAGGGTTCTTTAGTAAAGACAATAATTCTAAACAGAACCATGAACACTGAAAGAACCCTTTGCATGATTAAAGTGTGAAATGGTTCTTCACATTGATGGAGAATGTGCCTTATAGCACCAAAAAGGGTTCTTTTATTGTTACAATGTCAAGCTTGACACAATAGAAGAACCCTTTTTGGTGCTATATGGAACCCTTTTCAAAAAGGTTTGGTGTAGAACCATCTACAGCACATTCTCCATCAATCTGAAGAAATATTTCACAATTTAATCATGCAAATGGTTCTTTGAGGGTTCTTGGTTCTATATAGAACCATTGTTTTTACCAACAAGCCCTTGTAGAACCATCATAGAACCATCATTAGGTGCGTGCGTCAGACAATAGGCCGATGTCAGTGGCTAAAATGACTGGCAGAAGTGTATTAACAGCCCTGCTGAAGCTGAAAAACCATGCCGTGTTACTGTGAGCATAAAAACGTGTGGGTTGAGGATGTTTCCCGACTCCAGACACCTCGAGGGATCTGCTTGGCAATTTCAGAGTGATATATAGCTCTTTAAGTGTGGCCAGACAAGAATCTGTCCGCACAGCATATTCAGCATTCACAGATGGTTCACTGGACGAGATACATTAGCAGGTGTTGATTGAAAGTGCACACGTGGCACAAAGACCGTTGCAAACTGGATCAAACTGACAGACAGGACCCGACGTGGACCTGCAGAGGAGCCTTTCAGTGAAGGCAACTTTCTTCACAACAATAAAGAAAGAGTCAAAAACTGAAAGGAAAGCGCCAAATAGGACATCAACTCACATTATGATGCTTGCATGACAATACTGACCCCTCCATTGGTCATCGGTCCAGCACTGAAGACTCCAGTTTTGTTTTTTGGTACCTAAATTCTTCACTTTTCCAGGTGACAGAAGTGTCCCCAAGCACTGTTACACCACCACTCTCAGCATCAGGATGTAAACTAAAATGGTATGTTGATGTCAGAATTACTACTTCGTGAAGAGTTTGCTAAAGTACGCTAGTGAGGAAGCTAACACTGACATAATTAGCAATTTATGCTAGCCTCCACAGATTGTGTGCTTGCATTTTGACATATGGACGGACATAACTAGAGTTTTGCTTGATGCTACACACGATTCTGTGTTATTTTAGTTATTTTTGAGTGAGTGTGCTAAACAGTGCAGTATATCATTTCATGTCAATCACTGAGTGTGTTTACATGCACTCAATAATCTGATCATAATCAGATTTCTGCAGTTATCTGATTATTCAAATGGTCATGTAAACAGCATAGTCCGATTTCTTAGATCAGAGTACGTTCTAGAGATCCAATAAAGAAAGCTGGATTTTAGCTCAGTAATCAGATTTCTCAGTGCATGTAAACTCTTACTCTGATTTCTTTCGGATTTCTCAGTCTGTGCAGGTGCGAAAACAGACGGCGGTACCGTAAGCGAGCAGCGTCTCTCCAAAAGCGTTTTGCTCCATCTAGTGGCGACGCTGCTCGCTTACGGTACCGCCGTCTTTTTTCGCACCTGCACAGACTGAGAAATCCAAATACATGCTTGACAAAATGAAGGATTCAAAATATTCTTCATCTTCTAGATGATGTGTGTTCAAATTTTCAGGTAAAGTGGCCCAAAGTTTCAAAAAAAGCCACCACATGAAGTTTGAGTTTTACGTGATGTTTACGTCACGTCGTCTTCTGTGAGTTTATTGGCTTATTGGTTTATTGTAAAGCAGACATCTGATTACTGTCTGAGTCACGTAGACCTGGAGTTTCCCCATTATCTGATTACTCAAGTGCACATAAACACTCACCGTTGTTCACACCCCCCACTTTTGAGCTCTAGCATTTCATTTTAGATCAAAAGGATCCAAAAAAAGAACAGAGACGTAAAACATCAGTTTCTATACTAATAGATGCTGGATGGACTGAGACGTTTCACTGCAGTTCTACACATATAAATATAAAGATGCTGAGAGGAGCTCTTGGTCAATGAGGAACCCTAAAAAAACTGTGTGATGTTTAAAAAAAACAAAAACAAAAAAAGCTGCGGAATGTACTTTAAGTTTTACATCCCGTTTACGTTTCGTCTTCTTCTGTGAGTTTATTGGCCTTTTGCAAAGCAGAAATCTGATTACTGTCTGACTCATATAGACCTGGAGTTTCCCCATTATCTGATTACTCAAGTGCATGTAAACACTTTGGTCGGATTACTGACAAAATCTGATTTTCTGCAGTTATCAGATTATTAAGTGCATGTAAACACACTCAATAAATTAAGCTAACTAGAATTGAAGGTAGCCCAATTAGCCACTTTAGAATAAAATCATTACCCGTTATTATGACAGTTCCAGCTGTCTCGAGCAACTAGAACTAGGACCTTAAGTTCTGTTGGCTGCCACTTTGGTCAGTTCATGTTTTTAAATGTGCAGAAATAATGCTTAAAAAGGTTCGTAAGCAGTGGTTCTAGTTGCTGAAGCTTTTAGTGCACAGCTAAGGTTTCCCAGCCCCGACCAGCCCAAGCTGAATAACAGTGTCTCAAAGCAGCGGTGCAGATCACCTGGTGGGAAAAGTGATGAAGCAGCTCAAGAGAGCCTCTCAAACAGTGGTCTATGTGAAGGGTTTGGCATTCAGTGAGAAGCTGTACAGCACCAGTTGAACAAGCAAGCTGATACTTGGTGCCAAACTGCCAGTTTACTACGAATCACAGAAATTCCCAGCCACTGTAGACAAAAGACTGGCTTGCTAAATATGATAGCAACATGCAGCAACGTAACGGTTTGCTCCCAGAAAAGTGAGGAGCACCTAAATGAACACCTGTGGTTGACGGGATGCACTCAAAAGCACTAAAGGTAGACGTGTGGATGTTACCCTTCCTGCCATTAGCATCAAGAAGATCCACAGCAGGCGCTAGGAAAGTCAAGTACCTGATCAGCCTCAACCTCCCTGGGTTTTGGGGACGTCGGAGTGGAGTCCTGGTCGTCGGACGAAGAATCTGGCTCATGGTCACTGTCCTCCATTGCTACAGGAGCTACCGTACAATCTGCCATCTCCAACCATGAAGGGAGGAAGGTTTAGGGTGGAAGGTTGAGGAGGAGGAGGAGGAGATAGGTTCCATTGAACAGGGCAAAGGTGAAGTCAAGGCAAACGAAAGAGAGCGACAAAGGGCCCCATTACGTCATGGCCATTTTTGGTGGAAGGGATGGACAGGGGAAGAGGAGAAACAGAAAAATGTGAAATGATTAAATCAGCTGTGTGGAGCGGATGAAGCGAGGTCTGGATCCAGCCACTGGAAATTAAAATTGGCGCCAGAGAAAGCAGTTCAGGCTGTCTACTTGAACACAAGCTGCCTATGTGAGTTACGCCTGGGAGTGTAAGATATCCGCAGTGCTGTACATGCAGCAGGCACTTCTACAGTGTCTGTAAATGAGGTATAAATACACACAGTATAGGCCTTCCAGTTTTATTCAACTGTTTATTTGTGAACTCCCTACAGCTCGGCGATCCTGCCAAGTTCTTAAAATATACAGCAGCGGCCAAAGCAGAAACAGGAATCTGTGATACTCTCGTTATGTAATGCCAGAAAAAGTCAATACTACCATATAGAGTGTTTTACTCTCACCCACATACAGCTCACCAAACTATTCACAGTGAAGAGGGCGTGAGCAAAAGCTGAAGCCCAGAAAGTAAGACTTTCACTCACTGAAGACATTCATGTTCTTGTTTTTGGACCATTAAAGGCCATTTTTTATTTCTGAATAACTGAATTGTTAGAATTGTTCACAGTGGTGGTGATAGGAACCAGGCGTCCACCTCTAAAAGCTCCCTCACAGAAAGTTACTACATGAAATGGTTGTGAATTCACCTCCTGATGACTGAGACACTGTTTTATGCGCTTCCACTTAACTTCCTGTACCTTGCACTTTACTAAATACTCTGCCACCTACTGTACCATCTTCTACCTCCACACCTAGTGTGATTACTTGCACATCTACATAGCATTGTAATATCCATTACTATATATAGTATATGGTTGATTACACTCACTCTACATTCCCAGTGCAATATTATATGTCTCGGTGCAATATTATTATTTTTAAGTTATTGTGTAAGATTATATGTATATATTTTAGTTAAATTGGTTTTATCTATTCTTCTATCCTATCTATAGTTTTGTTTATCTATGTGTAAATACTGTTCTCTGCATAATTTGTGGAACTCGCACTCAAGTTTTTCACTCACCTGTGTCCCTGTACTCTTGTGATGTGACAATAAATCTGATTTGATTTGATTTGATTTGATTTGATAGTTTTGAGAATTTATCATGGTTTTTTCCATCATCAACATTCCATATAAACTCAGAAGACTCGTGTAGGTTCACTGGTCGTTTTGGATAGTAAATAAAATGTCTATATTAGTGTTGTAGTCATGGTGACCCCTGGTTCCTATCACCACCACTGTAAAGACATCTGAACCATTTCACATCAAACCACTCTGAATCACTCTGTTTACATCTCACACACAGAATTATGCAGAAATCCTGAAAGATATGAATTCCCCTTTAACAAAAGATTGCAGGACTGAAAACTTTCCAAACTAGACAGGCACAAAAACAGAAACTTGAATCTTAAAGACACACAAGACAAAGTGTTCTTGTCTTCTTCTTAACAGATTTCATTTGGTGGCTGAAGGGAAGCAGGAAATTATCAGGCCTAGTGGGGGGCTGGTGACCCGTTTTCAGCTCCACTAGATCAATCTTCAATCTACTTTCCAACAGCCTACACTGACCTATTTTAGGACAGTGGCCAAGAGTACAACCACAGCATTCTCAGTTTAAAAAAGTGATGTGGGAATACAAAACTGAACCTGAATTAACCTTGATTTATTTCAATTCCAGGTCAAAACGGTCATTCGGTGTAAAAAACTCAATATAATATCAAAGTTTTCTGTATTTATCTACTTTCAGCTTCCATTCTTTTCAGGACTTCCTCAAAGAATCTGCAGACATGCCTCTAAAGTTCAGTCTTAGAAGCTGGTTGATCATTTTATGATGTAATCAAACCCATTCAGTGATGTTGAGGTCTGGACTCTGGGGTGGTCAGTCCATTGTTCAGCTTCTTTGTTTGATGTGTCCGTCTCCTTTTCTCAGTGAGGTTCTTCTTGAACAGCTACACATCCTTTCAGACCCATAGAGCTGAGTCGTCTTCTCACAGTGGAAGGATGGACAGAAACACCTGTGGATGTTTTCAGATCTGAAGCAGCTTGATTTTCTCCTCTCTCTCAAAGATGAAAGCTTTAAGTGCTGTTTGTCTGATGGGGGGCAGTTTTGGTGTCTACCAGCTCTTCCAGGTGGTTGTTAGGAGCCCCATTTTCTCTGGAGCTTCTATTCATTTTTCAAATTCGTTTTGGAGACTCACTTAGTTTTCTTTGACTTTCTCCTTCATTATGCAAGTGGATTCTCTTATATCTGATTTCCTCAGAAACCTCTCCTGAAAAATGAATAGCTTGCACTTAAATTTCTGCGTTAGAGTCTGCTCTGCACTCCAGTTTGGCGTTCAGCCTACTTTTCACTCAGCTAGAAATAGAAAACGCCCGTTTTAATCTGTCTGAGAGTAGGTCAAGACTGTCCTCTTTTCAGAAACGAGAGTTTTTTCATACTATCAAGGTGACTACGCCATCTGAATCAAACCATCTCACAAGATAAAGAAGATGAACACAAACAAACTCCTTCAGCACCTCCAGTATTTCACCAACTACAGCCCTCCTAAACAAGCTCACCTGCAGAACCTCTGTCAAGCTGAAACTGCTGGAACTTCACGCCTCCACGGACCCAGCTCCACTTTTCCGTCTCTCAGACCCAAATGCTCACTCCGGCTTTTTATACTGGCCTGCGCTGGGTCGCAGTGTCCTTCAGCCTCATTGAGCTGCCACGCTGCCCCAGGGCACCAATCAGCACCGGCCTCAGCAGCTACTGCACCAACACAGGTCCGATTTTGCTAATGTGAGTTTCCGGAGCTACCAAATGCTTCCCTACCCTGCATATCGACACACAAAACAATCCCAGTGGACACAATCCATTTTCCTGTTACACTTCAGTATCGGGTGCTTTAAATTGTCCTTGTAATGCTCTTATTAAAGAGCCCATATCCTACATGTTTATAACATTTATGTTTACGTACTCATATTTCACTTTTATACATGACCATTTTCCAACCTCCCTTTATCCTTTACAGGTAAACAGACTGTACCTTTAAGACACATATGTAAATGAGCTCTGTTCTGATTGGCTCTGCCTTGCTCAAAAAGCAGTCCAATGCTTCTTATAGCTCTTTATCGGTGTGAATGGGTGGGGCTAAACTGCTGTAGGCTGATTACATGGCTATATGTAAACTAATTTTTTTTGTGACATCACAAAAAAAAACAGTGATTTCAAAATAAACAGGTACAGCTCATCAAGGGTAAATATTACTGTCCCCTATTTTAGCCCCTGGATTAAGATCAGCAGTTTATGGACTGCATGGACTGGAGAGTTAATGCTATGCTGAACTGAATCGCAGTTCAGTGAATTGCTGGGGTGTCCACACTTTTTTAAAAGAGAGCTAGATTATACATTCAAATAAATTAAGATTTCAGTATATTAGCGGGCGGCACGGTGGCACAGTGGGTAGCGCTGTTGCCTCACAGCAAGAATGGCCTGGGTTCGATTCCCGGCCAGGCGACCAGGGTCATTTCTGTGTGGAGTTTGCATGTTCTCCCCGTGTCTGCGTGGGTTTCCTCCGGGTACTCCGGTTTCCTCCCACAGTCCAAAGACATGCAGTCAGGCCAATTGGACGTGCTAAAATTGCCCCTAGGTGTGAGTGTATGTGTGACTGTGTATGTCTGTCTGTCTGCCCTGCGATGGACTGGCGACCTGTCCAGGGTGTATCCTGCCTTCCGCCCAATGACAGCTGGGATAGGCTCCAGCGCCCCACCGCGACCCAGAAGGATAAGCGGTTTAGATGATGTATGTATGTATGTATGTATGTATGTATATTAGCACAATGTAATGTGTGAGACAAACTAAACAGATATCTGTATTTTTTTTTAAATCAATGTTCTTCACATATTGAAACTAGAAAAGCAGATTAACAGCATAAACAGCCGTTTTTGTTTGTCCTTAAAGGGTTAACATTTACTGACCTGCTGAATCTGCTCTTATAGGAAGACGGTACTGTGAGACTCGCAGAGCTGCAGTTGCTTTAGTGTCTCTCTTGAATAATTACTATAATGTTCATGCTGTTTCATTTCTGTTGATATTAAATACATTACAGTCTTTTGAAATATGAGCCCAATTTGCTGCGGCTCTCGATGAAAAAATTCCAAAAAAAAATCTGCGGCCCTCAGTGTTAGTCAGAGTTTTATGGCTGCAGTCTGGACTAAATGTTGGTCAGTAAATGAAGCTGCAGGTCAGTCAGAGAAGAAAGGCTCTTAAACTTTAGCTAACTTCATTACCGCAGTGCGGCGTGTTATGCTGTAACCTTACAGCAGTGCTGCCACCATCAGGTGAAAGGAAGGACTGCAGTGTACTGGCTGGTGGGCCACTTTCATATTTCATAAGCTACATTCAAAAGGTGGGTGTCATATGAGAGCTGTATCTGTCTTCTTTCCAGTCAAATAGGTGGGTGATGTAATTTTAAAGCCTTATAATAAAAGCTGAACTCACAGGTTTTTTTTTCTACTGAAAGTCGACCCATTTTTCCACAAATCTGGGCTATAAACTATAAACAGATGGCGTCTCTTCAGTGATCTGCTCTGTAAAAATTATTTTTATTAAATAATACAAAGAGCGTCTAAGATTTTTGGCTTTCAGCAGTAAACTGTAAGCATATAGTAATATGTGTATGATCATAAAACACATTTTCTGTTAATTTGAGCGGAATTAAAAAAAAGTAAATAAAATAAACATTTATTTCATGCAGCTACTGAATAATTTCCCTTACGATTTGGTCATGTAAATTCAGATGGACAAACCAAAATATACCCTGGTCAATAAGAGTT